CATTTTTTTTTATTTTTGTGGAAATGCGCTAAAAAGGACAATACAGAGACGTTTTTATTACTGCTATAAGGGTTCCTCCTTTGCCGTTGTCAGTTTGATTCTCAAATTTGACATACCCCAATTTTAACTTTTCGAGAATTGATAAGCGGTCTCAACTCTCAAGTCCTCAATCTTAGAGTTAATAAAAATATCTCAACAGGACGACTCTTTTTAGCGCATTTCCACAAAAATAAAAAAAAATGCGCTATTGTGGCCACTTTGTCCGTCCGTCCGTCCGTCCGCTAGCTTTGCGACGCTACTAGTTTTTTATCTTAAGAGCTATTGTTCTACTTTTTTCGCTATTTGGTTCGTTATGGTGTCGAGTCTTGTACCAAGGAAGGAATTTTTTCTGTACCGCTTACAAAAAAAGTTATTGTAAAAAAAACAAAAAACCGTTTTTTACATGTTCCATAATTTTACACTTTTGCCGTTTATTAACGATCCTAGAGATCGTTTATAATTTTGCATTGCTATCTGTCGTCTGCCTGTTGGTCTGTCCGTCTGTTCCTTTGTCTGTCTGTCCATCTATCTGTCCGTGTGAACGATAACTTTGTTTAGAAATGTTCGATCGCTTTTACATCTCCGTTAGTTATGAACTGAATTGCATGAAATTCAATATGGGCATAGCTTTAGCCATATAATACGCAATGCCAAAAGTTGAATCGAATCGATTCAAAATTCACAGTGCCCTTTTCGCATCTCGACCATTTATAAACCGAATTGCAAACTTTTTTACTTATAAAAGTATTTGAATGAAATTTGATACATAGGCACTTGGAATAAAGGAAAATCAAACGCCAATTTCAAAATTTGGTTTTGCGCATGCGCAGTGCCAACTTTTTTATTTATGGAAGAATTTAAACGAAATTTGATACATAGGCACTTGGGATAAAGGAAAATCAAACGCCAATTTCAAAATTTGGTTTTGCGCATGCGCAGTGCCAACTTTTTTATTTATGGAAGAATTTAAACGAAATTTGATACATAGGCACTTGGGATAAAGGAAAATCAAACGCCAATTTCAAAATTTGGTTTTGCGCATGCGCAGTGCCAACTTTTTTATTTATGGAAGAATTTAAACGAAATTTGATACATAGGCACTTGGAATAAAGGAAATTCAAACGCCAGTTTCAAAATTTGGTTTTGCGCATGCGCAGTGCCAACTTTTTTATTTATGGAAGAATTTAAACGAAATTTGATACATAGGCACTTGGGATAAAGGAAAATCAAACGCCAATTTCAAAATTTGGTTTTGCGCATGCGCAGTGCCAACTTTTTTATTTATGGAAGAATTTAAACGAAATTTGATACATAAGCACTTCGAATAAAGGAAAATCAAGCGCCAATTTCAAAATTTGGTTTTGCGCATGCGCAGTGCCAACTTTTTTATCTATGGAAGAATTTAAATGAAATGTGATACATAGCCACTTGGAATAAAGGAAAATCTAGTGCCAGTTTCAAAATTTTATTTTGCGCATGCGCCGTGCCAACTTTTTTATCTATGGAACTATTTAAGTGAAATTTGATACTTAGGCGCTTGGAACAAAGGAAAATCTAACATTTTAAAATTGAGGTTTGCGCATGCGCAGTTCCAACTTTCTTATTTAGAAAAGCATTGAAATGAAATTCTTCTCATAAACTGAAATTGAAGTAGCACGTCAACAATGGATTGCCCATATGCAACGCTATCTTTCATATTTGTGGGCGGATTTTTACGATTTTAACAGAAGTTGCATCTTACAAATGGGAAGTGAATGCAAGTGGAAATGCGCTTTATGTAAATCGTTTACGATTACTTTTTAACTTGTTTTATTTTTGTGGAAATGCGCTAAAAACTATTCACAGTGGCTTCGTCTCCATTTTTCAACGCGTGTGACCTTTAGGCAGTTGTCGTTGACAATTAATCCTGGCGTAAAAGAGATAATTGCAAAGTAACCAAAATATATTTTCTGTATTTACCAGAGACACCCTTTCCATGTCTCTGGTATTTACTGAAAGTCTCGAGTATTTCTAAATCGAAGCAAATATATATAAATACTTTTATGTTTCTTTGTAACCGTCAAATGAAATTTTGTTATTTTTCTTTCAGATAAACCACCTGTCCCATCGTTAACGGAATTAGCAGCAAAATGTGTAGCTTCTCATATCCCCTTCGAATTAGTGGAACGCGTATATCCTCCCGTTCCAGAACAACTACAGCTAAGAATTGCCTTTTGGAGCTTTCCTGATAACGAGGAGGACATTCGGTTGTATTCGTGTTTGGCTAATGGATCGGCGGATGAGTTCGGGCGAGGTGAAAGTTTATATCGGAATCATAGCGTGAAAGATCCTCTACAAATTGGTAAGTCACTTTATTGTATGTATTTTACAACGCAGCTTATCATACGCTCAGAAAGTCCCTACTAGACGCGCGGCCTTTACCGGTGTGGGCTTTTTCATTCACTGCTCTGCTCTGTGTGCATCGAGCAAAATGTTCAATCTCTTCCAGAGAGCGTCATGCGGTACCTTCCAGAAGCGAAATATTCACGCTATTACTTTTTACTGCTTCATGGACTTTCAAAAAGTTGGGTTTGCTAATAATACCCAGACCAGGGGTCGGCAACATGCGGCCCTACAACGTCATTTATGCGACTGGCTTAATAATAATACATGAATCCGACCATGGTGACATCCTTTATTATTCTGAAGTCAAATGGTCAAGTTGAGGTACTCCAAAGATTCTTCGATCTGAGAAAGGAAATACGCATTTATGATTACTAAAGGTATCCCAGTTCCTGGGCAATCAAACGTTCAGTGGATAGTGGATCGCGGATTTGTTAACTGACAAAAATACTGAACTAATTTTCTCAATGTCTGTTTACAAGGAAAAAACAAATTAGTATCAGCTATGTATCCAGACGTAAAATCCTTCCAGATAAAGATAAATTTATATTTACAACATAATGACCATAAGAAACTTGGCCGTTTTTCATTAAAAACGATTTTGCAAAATTACGTTTCTTTCAGGATATCTCCGAAAGTAGTCGGGATTCTTTCAGTTTCAAACGCCATTTTGTCAAGCATCGAAATACGCCACTTTGCCAAATTTAAACTATCCACCTATCTCTCACAGTTTCCGAGATGCCCATGGTGCCATCGCAAAAATTCGGGACTCGAGCATTCCTATAAAAACATCATTCAATCACAGAAGTTGGTTCAGACCGCGAGGAGGTCCCTCAGTTCTGATTTTCGTTACATTGCTTTTAGGGTGTGCTTTACAAATACTACACAATAAGATTAGTTTTCCAAAATTTAATTTTAAGTTGGTTGTCGGCAGCACCTACTTGTGGATTTTCTTAAATTTTTGCGTTAGCGCTTCGTGCTAGAGATTTATTAAAACGTGTATAAATCGCTGTAGTTGTAAATTCTGTGGAGAGTATTGATTTATGTAAACAAGTAATATTTTGTTTCAGGTTTTCATTTATCCGCCAGCGTACACCAGATACCTCGTGGCACCCACAATGTAGCTGTGACCTTCGACCGGCGTCGAATTTCATCTTGTAATTGCACCTGCAATTCTACCGCTTATTGGTGCTCACATGTAGTCGCTGTTTGTCTCACTCGCATCCATTGGGTCAGTAACCTTTTACTACATGATTTTATTTTTAGTACTTACTCTATTTTTTATGTAAATTACGTATCGCTTTTTGTTTACGTTGTAAGCCTACTTTCTTTCGAGATTGATTATGCTTATTACCATTTCCAAAAAAAGTCTGTCTGCTTACCTACCTCATTAATCATTGACAACTTTTAACCATTCCAACTGACTGTATTAACGGGAAAATGCATTCTTAATTATAAAATAAAAGATTCATAATGCAGAAGATGCACTGATTTTCAAAAAGGTGTGCGGTCCCATTTACTACCTACTCCCCGTTTTCACTTTCTTTTTCACTTTCACCACGTTTTGGTTGTAGAGCGGCTTTATTTGTGTAGACACATTTATACCGATCATCCCCTGCATGACGTAAGTATGAGGCGCCGTTTGTACCATAATTATTTCTTACGAATATATAAAATAAAATAAAGATATCTAGAACTTTTATACCGGGTGGTGCCTAGAGCGACGCAGCATAGGGATTTCAATGGTAATTTCTTTATAGCCAATTACTAGCTCCCCTAATTATTTTAGAGCAAAAGTCTAAATACGTTTTTTTTAGAGAAAAAAATACTGCATCTGTTCATACGATTACTTATAATTTTCCGTTTTTCAAAACCGTAGAAATCTACAAAATAAAAAATTACATTTTTATAAATCAGTGATGCTTTGGAATCTTTTAACAAACTACAAGCGCATCGCATCTAAGTTATCGTTGTTTGACGTCCAACGATTTTCATATTTAATCCTGTTTCAACTATCCGACGCAAGAAAAAGCGTCTATGGGGTAATGTTTTTTTGGAGAATGTAATGCTGCATCTGCATCAGATACCATTTGTGTATCATTTTCCGGAACCAGTAGAGTACATAATCGAAGAAAAAGAAATTGATTTGAGGAAGAATTGTTCTTAAACGTATATTCGGTTTTTCCGCTACTGCAGCCAAAACAATGAATATATTGTTGTTTTCCGGATGCAGTGATTTAACACTGTTCCTGTTCTTAGAAACTTGGGCACAATTCTGTCTACTGTGGTACTGCTTGGAATCGGTCGATTGGGGTACTTCACAGTAAATAAAGACGTTATTACCTTAGTGTATTCTATTCTTACACTATGTTATTACTTGGCGGGCATAAAACAACTTTAACTTTAACTTTCCTCTTTTTCTTCAGTTAAATTGATAAACAATTTTATGATTTACTAATTTATAAAGTACAAATTTAATATACGCCAAAGGCAAATAATGAAAAGTTATCACTATTTTTTTAGTTAATTCCAAGGCATATCTTCAGATTTATTGTAAAATGAACCTTTTTATTTTGTCGATTTCTACGGTTTTGAAAAAGGAAAATTATGAGTAATAGTATGAACAGATGCAGTATTTTTTTTCTCTGAAAAAACCTAGTTAGATTTTTGCTCTAAAATAATTAATTAGGAGAGCTAGTAATTGACTATAAAGAAATTACCATTGAAATCCCTATGCTGCGTCGCGCTAGGCACCACCCTGTATAGTTCAATGCCTGGGAACCTTAGACCGTATAGTACATGGACTGCTAATTGTAACTAAAATATGGTCAAGGACATCGCCTGGGTATGTGAGTTTCAGGGTAAACGAGTCTGTCCGAAGTTGTCCGATGAGACACGATTTGAGACTGTCAACCTATAAATTAACAAACGTCAATTAATTAATCGCCTAAATATCCCAAAAAAAGCAAACTTATTCTTATTTGTGGACGTATAGCAAATAATGAAGAGTATTTAAAGCTTCCCGTACTACGCGGTTACTAGAAAGCTGCTCTTTACGCGATACGAGTGGTGTTCATACGACTTTAGTTTACCCTGAGATTCACATACCCACGACTACAGTGCCCTCTATCCGTGACCACCCATTTTGTATTGAAAGCATAGGGCGAATAGCAGTCCATGTACTATATGGTCTAAGCTGGGAACACTTGGGAAAATATCATAGTTACCATAGTAAAATTTAAATTTAAACTAGTCGCGTGCAAGTGTTTTTACAGTTTTCTATTTGACATTTGCCGTTTCCGTATTTTCGATCTAGTATTTGTTGGAAAGTCTAGGAATCAGGTAGGTAACTACATATACCATTATTGTAGATTAAAGGATAGGTAATTTACTAATTTCAGCTAAGCACTGAATATTAAGTAATGAACTGATTGGTAGTACACTATTTGTTGGTTGGGTGCTCCGCTATTGGATGTTCTAATAGAAGCGAGCAAGGATTCCTTATGAAAGTGTTTCCTAGGGACCCTCAAAGAAGAAAGCAATGGGTAGCTAAAGTTAGAAAGGAAATGTGGATCTCTACGAATAGCACATTTCGGAAAACGCATTAAGTTAGTATTCTGTTAAGATGGACGATGAATAAAGTTAAAGGCAATCTTTTGCATACTCAACGATCAGCAAGATACCAACAATCCATTAAAATGGGACGAACACTATAACGCTTTACTGACCTTTGTCGTTGCAGCCGTCGATGATTCATTAACAATAAACCCAAAAAGGGCGTCTAAAAAAGCAGCAGAGCACCTCGGTGTGACCCCACGGAGTCATTGGATTTGACCCATTTTCAATAGGCTTATTACTTGTGGTATATGCCACAAGTGTGCAAAGTTTGCACCAAATCGGTCCAAGCGTTTGACAGTTATCGTGTTCACGGACACTATCAACTCCCAACAAAATGATAATTGGAAACGAATTCACTTCCTGTCGCAACTTAATCTCCGTTACCATTACGCCTAAAACCATGCAATTAAAATTAAAATTTTACTTACTTACGGTTTTTTTGATATTCTGCAAGCCAGCAATGAATTCACTGCAGCACATTATGCCAAACAAGGTAAACATAGTCCCAAATTTGAATGGCGTAGCTCTATGTAATAAAACTATTTCAGGAATAACAATTACGGACGCGTCTATCATTATGGCAAGCACTAATGTTATTCGTATTCAATTGATAACGCAATAATTACATAATATTTAGTGAAAAAACCGCCCATCATGTTTAGGGCGAATATTTTTAGTTAGATTTGATTTCGCGCGATCGTGAAATGTGTCAACTGTCACATGACTTATGGGACGCGCTAAGTTTGTTTTAAGCGTCCGATTCGCGTACGACATAGTGGTTAATGCAATAAAAAGAGATAGAACATGTTTATTCTTGGTTAGAAAGTAATGGAGAGATGTACAAATTTCTTAGATATGTTTTTTAAAAACCGAGGTACGTTTGTTAAGAATGGCTGTATCTAGGTATTTATATATCTATGGACAAAAATAAAGTCACTAAATATAGAAAGTACCGCAATCCATTGGGCTCGTGTGTTAGAGAGAGAACGCATGATTTTTGCCCAAAAATGGCGGAAGTTACCAGATTCTAGTAACTTTAATGTTAGGGATTGTTCCACCTGTTTGGAGATATCTGTATATATTTTTATAAAACATGACAGTACTATGAAGTTAGGTTATAAAAAATTACAGCTAATCAGATTTTATTTGTCAATTTTTTTAAGTTGGCAGCAAATTTGCCCAAAAATGGCGGTTGATTGCGGTACTTTCTATATCTAGTGACTTTAGACAAAAACCTCTGTGAATGACATCTATTGGTGGTCATACACGATTCTATTTATAACTGAAGCTTTTTACAGGGATCTAGTTTCATGATAATTTCTTATTTACTTCAGTATAAACGGTTACATTTGCTGATATTTTATTCTTATTTTTAATTTAAACACTTATTTTAATTTTTATTTTTTAGCGCTGTCCACAAAAATTTAAAAAAGTGCGCTATTGTGGCCACTTTGTCCGTCCGCTCGTTCGTTGAGACGCTACTAGTTCTTTATCTTAAGAGTACTTTTTTCGCTATTTGGTTCGTTATGGTGTCCAGACTTGCACCAAGGAAGGAATTTTTTCTGCGTTTATTGCTAAAAAAGTTATTATAAAAAACCAAAAAATCGTTTTTTACATGTTCCATAATTTTACACTTTTTCCGTTTATTAACGATCCTAGAGATCGTTTATAATTTTGTATTGCTGTCTGTCGTCTGTCCGTCTGTTCCTTTGTCTGCCTGTCCCTCTATCTGTCCGTGTGAACGATAACTTTGTTTAGAAATGTCCGATCGCTTTGACATCTCCGTTAGTTATGAACTGAATTGCATGAAATTCAATATGGGCATAGCTTTAGCCATATAATACGCAATGCCCAAAGTTGAGTCGAATCGATTCAAAATTCACAGTGCCCTTTTCGCATCTCGACCATTTATAAACCGAATTGCAAACTTTTTTATTTATAAAAGTATTTAAATGAAATTTCATACATAGCCACTTGGAGCAAAGGAAAATCTAACTTTAAGTTTCAAAATTTAGGTTTGCGCATGCGCAGTTCCAACTTTCTTATTTAGAAAAGCATTGAAATGAAATTCTTCTTATGAACTGAAATTTAAGTAGCACGTCAAAAATGAATTGCACCTATGCAACGCTATTTTTCATATTTGTGGCCGGATTGTTAAGATTTTAACAGAAGTTGCATCTTACAAATGGGAAATGAACGCAAGTGGAAATGCGCTTTTTGTAAATCGTTTACAATTACTTTTTAACTTGTTGTGAGAATAAACTCACCTTTAGTTAATTTATTTTGAGCCTTGTGTACCTGTGGTGATCATTGACATCTAAATGCGATTTGTCTCATTACTCATGGCTTTACGGTACAAGGGCACTTACATTAACCTAAAGTAATGTTATCATCAACTCCACATGACTAACATATTTAATTCTTTCAGCCTCATCTTGTAACACTACGTGCTCCGGTATCCGAATCATTATCAAGACTACATAGAGAACAACTTCAGAAATTTGCACAGTATTTGATAAGCGAATTACCTCAACAAATTTTGCCAACTGCTCAACGACTGTTAGATGAACTTTTAGGATCTCAACCATCAGCAATAAATTCAGTATGCGGGGCACCCGATCCCACAGCGGGTGCTTCCGCCAACGATCAGACCTCATGGTATTTGGATGAAAAAGCGCTTCACGATAACATAAAGAAAATATTAATAAAATTTTGTGTACCGGCTCCTATCGTGTTTAGGTACGTTGTATCGGATCTTATGTTTTTAACTTACGTCTTTTGATTATAGCGACGTTAACTATTTAAGCACAACTGCTCCACCCGCTGCAGCAGAATGGACTTCATTACTCCGTCCATTAAGGGGAAGAGAGCCGGAAGGGATGTGGAACTTACTTAGTATAGTTAGGGAAATGTTTAAGAGAAATGATCGCAATGCAATTCCATTATTAGAAATTATCACTGAGGAATGTTTAGCTTGCGAACAAGTACGCCAGAAGAAACCAATTGAAACATTCTCATTCTTTTCTTCTAGATACTGGTTTGGTGGTTTAATACTAAAGTCGCTTTATTAAACGGTGGATCAGGGCATGGAGGTAGCGGCGGTGGAAAGCACAATAATGTGAATAGCAATAGTCATGCTTCTCAGCATGCTTGTTCTTCATTGTGTGACGAAATTGTTATACTTTGGAGATTGGCAGCATTAAATCCAGGTTTAGCGCCGCAAGAAAGAGATATGCTTCATAATCAATTTTCAACGTGGCATATGAAAATAATGGAGAAGGTTAGCAAAAGTAGATCAAATTCAAATCAGTCAAATTCTAACAAAAATGGTGGATTCAGAATGGATCTGGAGGTGTTTACTGGATTTAAACCTGCAATTGAAGCTTGTTATTTGGATTGGGATGATTATCCAATGCCCGGAATTACATATACACAAGACACAAATCCGATGTATCATTGTCCATTTACGTGCTTTCGGCATTCAGGAGAAAATCGCCTAGAGAGCGTCACACAAGTTAACTCTAGTCAAGCTGTACTAAATAATGAACACCCACACACCAGTTCTCATCATATACACAGCCATCACCACCACCACCATCACCACCATCACCATGGTGTGCGCTCAAGAATGACTAGGTTCGATTTTGCCGACGTTATAAGTTTAAATCCTGTTGAATTCTCTTCCCATCCGTCATTAGAACGATCTAGAGATGGTACACGTTCTAGTATTAGTAGTGAGGGTTTTTGCGAAAATGAAGATGATGTAACAGTACTAAAGGGAGGTAGTGTGTTGCTTGGAGCAAGTTATAAGTCTATAGATTCTGATTCTCAAGAGGGCGGTGGCAGTGATTCCGCCAGCAGTACTAGTATTGAATTAAATTCTCATATTCAACAGTCATCAAGCAGCGATGATTGTAACCTTATGAAAAACACAGTAGCACATGAACATTTGAAGTTTGATATTGTTAAAAAATCAGAATTAGAGTGGACATTAACAGGTGATGTTCCATCTTCATCACGCAGACATTCCAAAGATGAATCTTCCTCGTCAGAATCTCCACAATCAGGGGACGAATATAATCTTTATTTTTATAACGCGAAAGATAATGGGGGTAGTGGGAATGATTCTCTTAAGGATATAAAATTAACAGAAGATGGTGATGGTAAATCGCAGCCACTATTTGCGAATATCAAGCCCGCCGATGATCCGTGGGATGTGTTATTTGCACGAGCCGAGGGATTACATGCACATGGTCACAGTAGAGAAGCTTGTACCCTTGGAGTTAAATTAGCCGAGGAACTCTTAGCCAATCCTCCAAACTTAATGATAGAAATTCCTCCTCTGCCAAAGCGAAAAGGAAAGAAACAACAAGTTAACCCCGCTTCTCATCAACTTAGCTGTTTGGCCTCTGCCACATTGGCTAAATGTGCGTTTCTTTGTAGCGTCTTAGCAGAAAATTTGGAGCATTTTCATTTGGCGTTTCGGGTGGGCATGTTCGGTTTAGAAATGGCCAGACCACCTGCCAGTACTAAGCCCTTGGAAGTTAAGTTGGCAAATCAAGAGTCTGATTTAGTTAACTTGTTGAAACGTATACCTTTGAGTCAAAAGGAATTGAAAATTATTCGAGAGAAAGCGCAACAATTTAAGGAAGGTACTTTAAAATCCAGAGGCGAAGCTTTATTACCGATAATGCTCGCAAGTTTCGTTTTTGACGCTCTAGCGATGCCCACAGTTTTGGGACGCGATAGAGGGAAAGTGCTAAGTATTCGCTTGATATCTGATGAGCCGCTCGGATTTGAAGCCGCAGTTGCCGCTTTGGGTATGAAGGCGAATGTTTCTGAGGCAGATCACCCTCTTTTGTGCGAAGGAACGAGACGACAAAGAGGCGATCTTGCCATTAGCTTGTTAGTGCATTACAAGGATGATAATTGGAGAATGTCACGTATTATGGACAGATTATTGGATAAAGATATACATCAGCTGTTGAAGTCGCCCATTGTCAGTTCATATTACTCCAATAACCCTCCCATCAGAAGTCAGTATTCAAATCTTAAACGTGAAGAATGTGAAAAGGTTATGTCACCATTGGGTTCTTACGTTCCACCAACTGATGTTTTGCCAGCAGAAATAAGTAAGTCCAAAGTTATTTTTTCTTTTGTAATAAAAATCACTGTATACTATAGTATTTATTATTATATTATACTTAGAGGTGGTGCCCTACTAGGTTTCTGGAAGCACAGATCGGTCATTTTTCATTAATATGATTTGTTTGAATATAACAACAAACATTATACACTATACCACAGATATACACAAACAATTTATCTGTGACTATACCGAGGACTATACTAATTTAAATTCATTGTACCTTTAGGTAGCAAACTCTGATTAAACAAAAGAATAACTGTAATAAAACATTACAAATGGGGACATTTTTCTTGTAAGTACCAAAAGGGACCTTTTAAGAGTGTTTTTTTGCACATGGAATTTTCTTCTTCCAATAGCTAGGCACATATAGACACATTGTATGGGAAGGTATAAAAAATTGACCCCAATATGATTACTTTCGGTCAAATTTAGTCCATCAGCGTTGTGAGATAAATTCATTTTTTGAAAAATGTATTTATTACAAGTGATACACCGCTCCACTTTAGGAATATAATGGACATAATTACTCATAAAATGTCAGAAAAAGCAAGATTCTAGAGTAGTAGTAATCTAACTGAAAATAGACTAGAGCCTGCATCTACACTACATTAGAAAGCTTTTAGTGAAAATTGGAAGTCTCTAGCTATTGTAATTGACTAAACCTTCTTTTCTATAAATAATAATAATAATATATTTTAGTGCATAGACCAACAAAACGTATGTATAGCACAAGTCAATTACAAACCAACAATTAGGTAACAATTAAAGATTAAAAAATTCACTAGTGGTGTAAAATGGGTTAAGAATCAGGTACTTTAATAGGTTTTGTTTGAACGGTTTTAGAGTGTCACAGCCTTTTAAGTAGTGAGGTAGCTTGTTATACATTTGTACGCCAAGAACCATGGGAGAGTTCGCTTAATTTTCTTTTAAAAGTGGGGATTTGGAAAAGGTCATTATCACGTAAATTATAACTATGTGTGTCCTTGTCAGTTTATGAGAGTAAGTGAAGATTAATTTACAATTTTCAAAAATAAATCAACTAGGAACCGTTAAGATTTCCAGATCTTTAAAGAGACCTCTTAATACAGGAAAATTGTCCAAAATGGACAAGAAAATTGCGAAGTACTTGAAACTTGGTATAGACGTTTGAAAATACGTATATTTCAAGGAACCGAAGAGTCCCTAACCACAAGAGGTGTGCTGGAGTGGTCATGCTCAAGAACGTAGAGTGAACTGGAGGTTCACTTTTTTAACAGGAAGTGGCAGTTCAATCCTATTAAAAAATACTTTGTGACATTTTTAGCGCATTTTTTAAGAATTAAAAAAAATGTGCTACTGTTTGCGTTTTGTCCGTCCATCCGTCCGGCCCACTTTTACCGTTTTGAAGTACATCTAGGGAAATGGTACTAGACTCCTGCAATTTTTTGCAATATGTAGCCTACATCTTGAAGGGTGTGCCAGGCGACCATCAAATTTCGCTGTTTTAAGCCCCCCACCCCACCCCCACCTATGAATTATTTCCGCAGATGCTGTTTGTGATAGTAAAACGTGCATAACTTTTACATACGAAAACCAATCAATTGGTTTGAGATGTTGTATACGCATGCCTTTAGTGGTACCAAGTACAACTTTTGTACATGGGGGGGGGGGGGGAGGAGGTAAACACACGTTCTACCTGTCATGGTATTCTAATGAAAGGTCTCATCGAAATAAATTGGTGTGTACAAACTATTACTTTCCTTCGCGACTCTTTTTCGAGATCAGTGGGTGACGGGGTCGTAAAGATGTTTGCAAATTTGCTCCATGTATGCAACCGTACATTTGCATGAAATAAGTTGTAGTACACTTGTACGGATTGTGGTCCTCGCGTAAAGAGTGTTGTAATAGGCTACAATGAGCCCTTGATTTTCTTCCATCCCCACTGTTCGGTATTGTTGGTACTACGAAGCCATATCTGAATTTGGCAGAATACTCGTGAGTAATGCTGAGCAGCGGCCACTCAAGTTAGTGGTAATAATTCGGCCCTGATTTTTGCTTTTGCAGCGATTTTTTTAAATTGGTAAAACCTATATGAATTAACGGCAACTTTCAAATTTTCTTCTCACTGTATACCATCAGAAAATGAGGTTCACCAGCTTCTCTTACTTCTGATAAGGTTGAACTTTGGTTTTTGAAGGTTCTCACTATAGCCAATTGCATTTTGTTTTGCAAGAGTTTGAAAAATGGTAATTTTTGCTTCTGAAACATACAATATGTGGTATCACTACTGCAAAAATGTTCTTTTTAGGCAAGAGAACAAGGACGTCAACATCCTCGCCGACTACACGCATGTTCGACCATTGTTAAACATTTCTATTGCGTCATACTTTCATTAGACAAACCGATACAACAAAATATGGAATGATCCTCAGGATTACCATCACCTTTTTAACGACCGTTTATTTTTATCTTGGAGATACATATAGTCAACAAAAATGCATCAATTCATGTCTTGGGCATTGAGATAATGTTCTTAGTGTTTTTCCAAACGATCTTTGTGCATAAATAACGATTTTGAAAACTTGGATGGAAATACATATGGCCCCCAAAAAATGCATTAAATTCATGTCTTGGTCATTGAGATAATGTTCTTGGCCTTTTTCACAACGATTCCGGTACAAGAATAACAACTTTGATATGTTTTTAGCAGAACACGCCATAAACAGCAGAATTTTTTGTCGTCCTTATTTCGCTGGTGCCTTTAAACACTGAAAGTGGATACGGAGCAAGTTCATACTTGAAGAATTCCGCGAGATCATCCTATTGGTTCTGCGTATACGATAAAAATCCGATCCGGGAAAACTTTACTGTGTGAACGAGCCGTTACGACAGGTGGGCGAGCGGCGCGGGGGTTTTTAAACCTTCATTTTGGGCTGAGCACACTATGTAACGCTAGGGACTCGTCCAATTCTTAAACAGAATATATTTAGGTATAAGTATACAAAGTTACAAAGACTTCGCAATTTTCTTGGATATATGACGAATTTGGCTACAATTTGGACTGTACTATCTGCACGAATGAAATTTTGACACGTTTGCAATTGTTCGTATAATGTGAGTGAGTGAGTAGATGAACCCCATAGACATATCCCATATCGTAGGATGGACGCCACAAGCGAATTGATTTAGAGTTAAGACGCGTCTGAGATTTCTGATTAGGTAATTAACCGAGCTCAATCTAGCTGCGAGTTTGGAGCAGTGTACTTTTGAGCTTAAGTGGTTGTCAAAATGTAGACCCAAAAATTTAGTGGTGGAAACATCTTGCAGAGTGTTGTCCTCTATTTGTAGAGCGGCAGGGTTAATGGTTTTTCGTGCCTGCTTGCCTTTAAAACAAGTGAAGCTTCCTTGAACCAAACACTAAGCTTATACAAGTAATTATTGCACAAGTTTGTGAGTAATTTCTCGTCCTTATGGGACACCAGCAATGACGTGTAATCCGCATATAAGAAATGGGGTACTTCTGTCCCGAGGAAAGTGGGTAGACAGAAACAGCGTTGGTCCCAGTACTGATCCCTTAAATATTGGGTAGGTGACGTTTACTAGGCCGGTAATAGAAACATACTGTTCCCTGTTGTAAAGGAAAGAAGATCCAGCTGAGTCCAACACCTCTGATACCATAATTCTCTAATTTTAAGAGCAACTTCTAAGGCCACCGAAGATCCCTATTGGACATTCTCCGTTTTCTATGTATTTAATTAGCTTCCAATAAAAATGTTGTAGAGCGTATGTTATTGAGCATTTCGGTTGAAAACCAAACTGTTGTTTCGACATTAGTTTGTGTTTTGTAATGAAGCTTTGGAGGCGTTCAAGGAAACAATATTCAAATATTTTAGAGAAAGTGGAGCTGAGGGCTATAGGACGATAATTGTATATACACTTATGATTTCCTTTTTTATAAATGGGGATAACGTTATTAATTTTTAACATTTTTGGAAATTCTCCCATGCTAAATGACAGATTTATAAGGTATGTCACTGGGGATATTATTGATGGTAAAATTTGTTTTATAAGTACTGGTGGTATCCCGTCCGGACCAGTTTATTGTTTAATTTGGAAATTATAAGGACTGACAGTTCACTAGTGGTGAATGGAAGCAAAACAAATGTATGGGGATTATTATTCATTTTTGGGATGTAATGTCGGTTTCTGTTTTGTTGATTATTATTTATTAGAGTCACGCTATATGACAGAAAAAGTCGTTGAAATGGTTAGCTATACCTGTGGGTTGATTGACTGTTCTATTGTTGACCTCGCCCTAGGTGAGTATTGTGAGTATGCATCTTCGTTTTCTGTATCAACTAAAAGTGTGCCAGTCTTTGAGTACGGTAATAATTCTTTAGTTCAGGAAATTGTTTTGTCATAACTAACAAATCGTGTAGTTTTTTAGACGATGATCTTATACCATTATCAACCCATGTTTTTGATAGGCCGTTCGCTTTATGGCGTCGCCTTAATATGGGGAAATTGGAATTAAATTTATTTGAGAAAACATTATGAAACTATTTGTATGCATCATTAATATCTCTGCATTCTTTTAGAAGGCACCAATTGACATTTTCTAGACAGTTTTTAAATTTTAGCACCCTATTTGGATAGTAGGAGCGGTTAAATGTATATAATGGCCCGTATGAATAAAAGTGAGCAAATGCTTATACTTGAAAAATTCAAAGGAAATACTCGTAAGTACTCCTTCGCGCTGGGCGACTTAGCAGCGCCGCTAAGTAGAAGAACAGTACGCAGTGCAATGCTGCTAAACAAACTAGTATAAAGGGGCACTTACGAGTATTTACTTTGAATTTCGCAAGTATAAGCATTTGCTTATTTTTATTCATACGGGCCATTGTTTCGGATATAGAACCATTGTCAATATTACTTTGAAAAAGAATAGTTCTATCATCCGAAATAGGTACAATTATCTAAGTTCCTATATGATGCAGAGGCCTCAAAATTTACATACAAATGGTCAAGAGTTCGATTTTCGCGTGTACTTTCATTGATAACTGATGTTAAATTAAAAGATCTTAACAAATTACAAATCCTCATACTCACAGATGTCTCTTACCTGATCTACATTAAAGTCGCCCGGTATTATTATATTATGACCAGGTCTATATATTTGATGTAAAACATCATTCAGTTTTTCAATGAATATTGAAATGTCTCCCATCGTTGGCAAGATCTCAGCTGGACAGCCAGCCAGCCAACCATAACAAATATAATAATATAAAAACACATGTATGGGCATATTAAGAAAACTTTTACACCTTGATGTGCACTCTAAACAGTACACTTCATAACGTGACGACTGCAGTCGGTTAACTGAATAAATCGCCGACTTCTACACACAAAAATCCTGCAGCGCGTCCAGATTATTGAGGAGCGTCCGGACCATCATTGTGACATTAGCGCGTCTGGATTACTAGATGTCCTGATTAGTATGTGCCCGGAGTAAAGAGGTTGTACCGCAAGTAAATAAAATTTAAATTCAATTCAAACAAAATTTAATACCTAGAATCTCAGGTAGAATCTGGGTATTAAAATAAAAATAACATTTTTTGTAGCAAATTATTTTTAAAACCCTTATGGTTCAAATAGATAAAATAAATAAAATAAAATTTGTAATTTTTTGACATAATCACAATGCGAAGCAAGACTAAAAAGGAACCCGATGCAGTTTTTTAATACTGTGTGTGTACTTACAGGTACCGGCAGTCGCCCACATAGTTCAACAAGTGCGGAAATTGAAACGTGTATGTCAAATATAAACTTGAATGCAACTCCAGGAGCCAATCAAAATCCTGCACTGCAAGTAACAAGAACTAAAGAATCACGTTACAAAAAAAGAGCTTACCCGTCTATTCCAAACCAGCCATCCGAGGCCGGCGCGCATTTCATGTTTGAGTTAGCCAAAACTGTCCTTATTAAAGCAGGAGGTAACAGCAGTACATCGTTGTTTACTCAACCGTCGACAAGTCAAAATCATCATGGTCCTCATCGCGCTTTACATATGTGCGCATTTCAGTTGGGTTTGTACGCCTTGGGTTTACATAATTGTGTTAGTCCAAATTGGTTGAGTAGAACTTATTCCTCACATGTATCATGGATTACAGGTCACAAATCTGTGTCTAATTTTTATGATTATAACGAATTTTTTAGGACAAGCCATGGAAATTGGAGCAGCTGCAATTTCATTTTTAATAGAAACATGGGAAGGTCATTTAACACCACCCGAAGCAGTTAGCATTGCTGATAGAGCATCAAGAGGATGTGACCCTAACATGGTTCGCTCTGCAGCCGAATTGGCCCTTTCTTGTCTACCTCATTCACACGCTTTGAATCCAAACGAAATCCAACGAGCAATACTGCAATGCAAAGAACAAAGTGAGATAATGCTAGAACATGCATGCCTTACGGTCGAGTCGGCAGCGAAAGGAGGAGGTGTCTATCCTGAAGTACTGTTCCAAGTTGCAAAATACTGGTACGAATTATATGTTAGGCACACTCCTGGTGGAGAGCTACTGCTTATGGAAAATGAGATACCACACGATGCACTTATCGATCCTCTAGTAGCTCTTGTTGATCCTAATGCTGGTGTGGAAATACAACCTCAAGTAGGAACTGGAATGCCACAACAAAATGGTGCTGCAGTCATTACTAACTCGGGCCCAGTTGTTGTAACTACCGCACCTCCTCCACCATATCAACATCCAACAGTTACAACGTTAGCTCCTTTGGGAATGTCGGTCCCATATGCAGTAGCCCCTTATAGTTTTACTGTGCAAGGTTTGCATCCTCATCCACATGTCAGTTATGGGGGCCCTCTACACCCTCATGCTGTTCAGTTACATCAACAACCACCACCTCATATGCAAATGTATCTATCGCCTCCTCAATTTCAATATCCACCACACACAAATAATCAGCAATTTAGCAATGGACAGCAATCAACTTATTCTAGCCTACCTCCTGTACAACAAGGAGCTTATGCGGTGCCATCTAGTGCACCTTCACAATATCAACTACCTGCACCAGTTCAAGCAACTTATGCTCCAAGTCAAGGTCCATCGTATACAAACATGTCTTCTAATTCAGGAACTCCTATGCAATCTAACATACAATATTATGGCACAGCTGTTACAATCTCCCAGCCATCAAATTTGCGACCCACTTCAGTTCCTGCAGGGCACATGTATCCTTTGGCAATTGCCACAAATGCACCCGGTCCTGTACCACCACAACAAATCGCGAGACCTCCCCCACATCGGCAGCCACAACAATTCAGTCAAGCTCAACTTCGGTATTTGCTAGCGGCTTACAGAGTGGGCATGTTAGCAATGGACACTCTTGCAAGAAGAGTTCACGACGATCGTCCCCAAGCAAAATATGCTCGTAATCCACCTTATGGGGAAGATGTTAAGTGGTTATTACGGATCTCTAAGCATTTAGGTAAGGAATACCACTACAAAATTGTTAATGACATTTCTATATTCTAGGTACACAATACCTACACCAATTCTGCATATGTGCTGTTAATTCTATTGTGAGCCCATTTGTCTTGCACGATGTCGCAATCGAGTCTGCCCAATATTTGTCTAGAAACAATCCAGCTTTGGTTATGCAACATCTGCGAACTGCGCTAACGCCGTTAGTACAGAAATGCCAGCAGATGTATATACAGTGCATGCACCAAAAATTGTATCACTTGACACCCGCAGACTATGAAGAATTTGTGAGTATCGTCTGCGTTGCCAGAGCTGCGTTTCAAATAACGCCAGAGGGCACAGCGCAATTTAAGGAATGGTTGCAGTCTATCAGAAGGTAAGTGTTATGTATATTTAAATTACATTACAATTACGCTGTAAGAGAGTATCCTAGAAAATAACAAGTTTAGAAAAATGTCAAGAAATTAATACATTTGTTCTATTCGAATATATTATTCAATAATTATAAACAAGAACTTACACCCTACAAATACAACAGTAAGCGGTTTGAAAAAACGCAAACACTGATATTATTCTGTAAATTATCTAGACATTCATTTGAGTTGTGTGTTAGTGAATCTGGTGTCCTATCATCATTTCTCAAAACACTGGAATTAATGTGGCCGTTGAACTAATAACTAAAACAAAAACACCAATAAACTACAATAATACAGAGTGGCTAATAAAGATGGAACCAAAGCGGCGGTGTGGAAACGGTTGGAGATTTCAGTTTGAAAGTTTTAGGACTTAAATAAGATGTGATTCTTGAAACTTGTTTTTAAAGGCCCCTCTTAAAATATGATATTTCAGCAAAATTAAGGCGGCCAACTTTTTAAAATAGCAATGCGGGACAAAATCGGGTTTCAAGTCTTGCCCATAACATTTGAAAAGAAACACATAATCATTTATACATTTCCGATTTTATTTATTTCAAAACTTAAAAAATATTGGTACAACATAGACATATAGTAGGAGTTTGCGCGCACCTAATCGGTATATTACATCTGAATTAGGTATGTTTACATAGTATCTGCAATTGATAGATGTAAGAAATCAGGAACAGTGCTGCATTGTGATTAGTATACCAATTACACCAACGATCTTCTACAGTATGCAAACCACAATGCGGCACTGTTTGTATCGTTTCCTACATATTTATTTTGTTCTATTGATTTCAGATACTATGTAAACGGATCTAATTCAGATGTAATATACCGGTCACATGCGCGCAAACTTAGGAAAAGCCTACTATACCGTCTTATAGTTCATATTCATTAACAATCAATACTGGATAAAAACAACGCCGATTAAAACTACCTAACACAATGAAAAGTGAAGTAATATACGTATATAGTACAGTGTGTAAAGCGATGGGGAATACAAGAAGGAATTTTTTTTAAATATTGATTTATTAAAAAATTTATTCTTCATATTTTTTGTTTGCTTTGAAAGTACCAATAACGTTTCGATTGTTTGTGGTTTGATAGCAATACGCTATCTTGATTATAATGTGATATGATGTAATGATAACTTTCAATAAAAAAATTAATTTTATTATTTTTTCAGATTTCTATAAATAAATTTTAGGTTATCGAAACGCTATTAGTACTTTCAAAGCAAGCAAAAAATATCATGAAGAATAAATTTTTTTCATAAATCAATATTTAAAAAAATTCCCTCTTGTATACCCCATCGCTTTACACCCTGTATATGAGCGCGAGGCGAGCTAAAATACGCGTTGGTGTAAAAAGGCTTTGCTTCGCTTCGTTTGTTGGCGTTGCCTTGTTTACGTTGATTTGGGTAACACTAGTTCTACAAAAGCGAGACTCGTGGAACACATCGGTTTAATTCCGGGACATATTTATTCATTTTTAGAATGCTGGATTGTGTTGGCCATTACGGGACCGTTCTGCTGAATACGGGACGGTTGACTGCCAAAATAAAACATATTATTGCAAATTTATGCAATTTAAATTGTAGACTTTTATTCTAGCGCCAAAACGCTATTTTGTGTCATGGCAGTGTCTGTGACATCACAGTCCTGATAAGTATAAACACATAACCTCCGCGTAAATAGTTTAAAAGATTTCGTAATGAATTATAACTACTATAAGTGAACTACTATAGTTCAGTGATGGTGCCCTACCATGGGGTACACCTTGTCGTGGTGGTAGGGCTGAGCAAACACATTTTTCTCGAAGTGATGAAGAAGCAACAGAAATAAAGCTGTATCTGTTATCTTAGTATCTGCTTCCTTGTGAAAAGCTTCTAAGGAGGAAATCTGTGTCGTCTGACGGTTACAGAAAACTTTTCTTTCATCACTGAAGCCTCCAGCAATCACCAGTCCGCCGTCAAATGAGGCCTTTTCATGGTGATGCGACAAGAACTTGATCAGATTTCTTTTGTTTTCCTCTAATGAAAGGAAATTCTTCCAAATGTGAGGTAATGGAACATCGCGGATATCTATCACATGACGCACAGGAACTAAAATGCTTGCCAAAACAGAAATAATTTAATAATTACGCGATGTGAAGAAATTTAAACAGTAGCCATAGTACTATGAAAAAAGGTTTCCACTTTTACGCACTTTGACGTTAGAAAAACTATGAAATCATTGTTGAAACATTTGTTCACTATTATTATTGTGCTGTACTTCCGTCAGAAATAACATTATAAAGGCCTGGACACCGAGACACTGTCGTCACAGTGCGGATACGGTGCAGACATGTGTGTGCAGGCCTTAATCCGTTTTTAGATCGAAAAAATCGGTCGCATGAGTGAAAAGATCAACATTTTCGAAAATTGGCCGCCATCCTGAATTGTGAAGTTCCTGTTCAGATTTCAAGGTGCCAACATCAATATTCGTGTTCAGCATGTACAAATTAGTCAAAAACGCCTATTTGGCCAAATTTTGTCTGAAATGCCCCTAGAACTTGTTAAACCGCTGTTTTTTTTAAAGGGACCAGTCTAGTCATTTTCTTCATAGACAACTAAGGAAACTGCATACAGCTTGTGTGAAACTTCCGGGCAATTGTGCATAAGTCTTAAGAGTCTTCTATACGACCGCGCTCAATGTAAATTTCAATAAGAGCGCCCGCTATAAAAACTCAAGTTACTTTTCAAAAACATTTTTTTAAGAACTACTTTATAAATTTAGACCTTTATCTACAAAATGTTCGTAATTTAAAAAAGTTGCGCTTACGTACAGAAGACTTAAGGTGAAGGTAGCTTACTGAATCATCTCCATATGATATTTCGATGACCTAAAAAAAAAGCATCTTAAGGCTCTGCTGCAGTGAAAATTATCATTTAAATTTTCGAAAAAAACAAGTCGCATACGATGTGGAGACCATAAGTGATACTGGAAAAAATAAGTAAAAAAATCGAGGTAGCTTCATTCGGCCTTAAAAAATTATTGTATGCTAAAGTAATCAAATCGTTCTTAGCGCATAACTTTGGATCCAGTAAAGATATTGGGGTCAAAATTTTGGAATAGACTTTACTTAACTAACAACATGCCTCTGTGTCTCCAATTTTATAAAATTTTATCTGCGTTCCTAAAAATTGCTTTGCAAACTTTCGTGTAATTGCAGAATTTATTACCACACAGTAGTAAAGTGAAAAGCGAAACTCGACACGGTAAGGCATAGGCAATTGTAGAGAGAATGTTGGACAATTTTTCCTTTTATTAAATTTTTATAAACAAAGCAGATCTGAGCAAATTAATAAAATCAACACGCCCCTCAAGAAAACCCACCTCTAGTGTTGATAAAAGTATTCAATGCAGCCAATCGGGGAATTTTAGCGATAATTTATACCAACACCATTTTATATTTACATTAAAATTATATATTGGTATAACAGCATCAAATAGTTACTCTTAAATTGTAAACAAACACAATCTCAATTTCTAAAGATATTTTTTTTATTTATGTTTACCTACCTCACATTATCAATATAGATAATGCGGTGTGATTAAATGTATGACTATACCTATGGCACAGATTAAAATCTGCACCTATGGGTACTTTCATCCAACACAAATAAATACTTATAGAACAAATATTTTCCTCATATGTAGTAATTCAACACCGTTGGCATGTAATGTAATCTAACAATTTACAATTGTTGATTAGGCACGTTGTTATAAAACTACGGGCCACCTTTTTTTAGCGCATTTTCGAAAAATACAAAAATGTCTGGCCACTTTGTTCGCCAGTCTGTCCGTTTGTCTGTCCGCCCGCCCGTCTGTCTGTCTGCCCTTACGGCTGGTATCGCTACTATATGATTACCTTAAGTTCTACTTTTTAGCGCTAAAAAAGTTATTGTAAAAAAACCAACAAACCGTTTTTTACATGTTCCATAATTTTACACTTTTGCCGTTCATTAACGATCCTAGATATCGTTAAAATTTTGTATTGCTGTCTGTCGTCTGTCTGTTGGTCTGTCCGTCTGTTCCTTTGTCTGTCCCTCTATCTGTCCGTGTGAACGATAACTTTGTTTAGAGATGTTCTATCGCTTTTACATCTCCATTAGTTATTACCTGAATTGCATTAAATTCAATATGGGTATAGCTTTAGCCATATAATACGCAATGCCAAAAGTTAAGTCGAATCGATTCAAAATTCACAGTGCCATTTTCGCATCTCGACCATTTATAAACCGAATGGCAAACTTTTTTATTTATAAAAGTATTTGAATGAAATGTGATACATAGGTACTTGGAATAAATGAAAATCTAACGCCAATTTCAAAATTTGGTATTGCGCATGCGCAGTGCCAATTTTTTTATTTATGGAATAATTTAAACAAAAATTGATATATAGGCACTTGGAATAAAGGAAAGTCAAACGCCAGTTTCAAAATTTGGTTTTGCGCATGCGCAGTGTCAACTTTTTTATTTATGGAAGTATTTAAATGAAATTTGATACAGAGGCCCTTGGAACGAAGGAAAATCTAACATTAGTTTCAAAATTTAGGTTTGCGCATGCGCAGTTCTAACTTTTTTATTTAGAAAAGCATTGAAATGAAATTCTTCTTATAAACAGAAATTGAAGTAGCACGTCAGAAATGGATTGCCCATGTGCAACGCTATCTTTCATATTATTGTTGCCGGATTTTTACGATTTTAACAGAAGTTGCATCTTACAAATTGGAAATGCGCTTTATGTAAATCGTTTACGATTACTTTTTAACTTGTTCGATATTTGGGTCGTTATGATGTCGAGACTTGCACCAAGGAAGGAATGTTTCTACGTTTATTACTAAAAAGTCATAATAAAAAATCAATTTTTTTCATGTAGGTACCATAATTTTACACTTTTACCATTTATTGTAGATACATAATATAAATTCCATATTCTAAGGCTACCAAATGCTTAGAAAATGAAATTGAAATGACGTGACGTGTCAAAGAATAAATTGTGCATATGCAATGCTAACTTTCTTATTTGTGGACGAATTTTTCTGAAATTTTAAAAGATCTATATATTGTTCCTTATTTATTTATGTCCAAAAATTTTATATATTTGCATGTCCATGTTTATAGATTTTAATGTGTGTTTTTACTTTTTATAATTTGTAACCATTTGACACATTTTTGCGTACGTGTTGCTATAATGTGTATATACATAGTGCACTTTTTGAGAATTAGCAAAATGTGCTATTGTTTGCGTTTTGTCCGTCCGTCCGTCCGGACCCACTTCTACCGTTTTGAACTACTTCTAGGGGAATGGTCCTAGAGTCCTGGAATTTTTTGCAGTAGGTAGCCTATACCTTGAAGGTGTGTCAGACGACCATCAAATTTCGCTGTTTCACTCTGTTGTGACGTTACGAAACGTCCATGTAATGCTTTCTTACTGGATAGTTTTATCCTTCATGGTACTCTAATGAAAGGTCTCAACGAAAGGAATTAATTTCTACCAACCATAACCCTCCTCGACTTCTTACCGTGATATCGGATTGTCGGAAGAGGGTACTCACAAAAGGCGATTGAGATGTCTGCAAGAAATATATCCATTGGTGATGTCAAAACAAAAGCTATTTCGGTTAAAAAAATGTGCTTTATCTGCACAAGAGTTGTGCACAATTTACACTTGTTTTCATTATTTGCAATTTAGATTGGATTTTTTTGTAGTAGGACATTCCTGTCCTTTGTTGTTCTGGGTGCATTTTGTTTCAAAATGTGGGCGGATTTTCCCGAAACTAAAAAATCAATTGGGTTACCTGTGCTATTTTTTTCGCAAAAAAGACTGCTAACGTGGAAATGAGCCTTTTATTGTAGACGATTCTGATAATAAAGTGGAGTTTTACCTGCGCATTGTTATTACATAAAATTCAGATGCCTATCAAACTTGCACCACGCAACGAATACCTTCTTTAGTTACTGAATGTGCAATCATTTATTTTTTTTATCGGTTACTTCTTGTGCAATTAGGTAGTCATTTCCAATAATTTGGGTTTGATGAGAAATTTAACCGTAAAAAGGTAAGATAAGGAGCTTCATATGTTCTATCTAACAAGTATTATTTAAAAAAACCTTTTTGTTGGAGGTATTTGCAGTTTTGGAGCTACGACTTTTTGATCTGGTCTCCTACGTGCCTGAAAAACGGTCACAACCTTTCTTTTATCCTCAGGAACATAACCAATTTTCAAAGCGGGTGGACGTTTCTAAACAAAGTTATCGCGCACACAGACAGACGAACAGACAGGCAGCAATATAAAATTATAAATTATAAACGATCGCGACGATAGTTAATCTAACACGATGACGGAATCTAAGACATTATGTAAAATTGCCGTAATTAGCAGATATCATTTATAGCGAAAAATTGGTTTATTTTCATATGGATAGCAAATGTTATCTTCATAGCAAAGCCACTAAATACATAATATGCTTTTTTCGCTTCTTTAATATTTGTGCGTTACGCAATACACATCCAATAATTAATTTCATTCAAGTAATGTAAGAATTTACATAAGTATAAAATATAAGTGTGGCCAAACTAAAAGCTAACCAAGGAAATATTCTTTATTTCGAATAGAATACGAGGAGATAAGATTAGCAGAGAATTGTAACGTTGAAATATCTGTGCAGTAAAATATCTGCCTTTGAGAGTGGGATAAATGGGTGGAGCTATAATTATTCGTATCTATATTTTAAAAGTAGCGACATCTGAGCGGACTCACTTGTCATAACTGGCGTATGCAGAACCTTAAGCACACATTCCTCTTAAAAACCTACAAAACTTATATGGCAGTTTTAATATTTCTAAATTCTGATGAGCAAAAATCTTTGTTTGATGCGAGAAATATTTCCAACATCATTACATCAATAAACTGGAACGAGCACTAAATTAAAAAACGTAGACAAACTCTATAAACGCACAGAGGATTCTGATTTGCGTTTGATATCACGTGACAAATGTCGTTATTTTTTAATTTTATTCTTTTTAAATAAAATATAATAGTTTTTCGTGTACTTTACCAAATTAAGTTATTTTGCGATACACTGACACCTTACTCTTATCTTATGAAACAGGAATTTATTTGTTCTTTTTCCACTGTCATGTACCTTATTAGGTTTCAACTCAATCGTATTCGTTTAATATTAGTAGTTATTTGATAATTTTAAAGTTTTTTTATTGGATGAATATTTTATGAGCCACAGCCGAGTAAAAGTCAGGACATTTTTTTTGTGTTTTGTGTGTAAGTAGAGTTGTGCCTGCATTATTCTTCTACTTCGTGTGGCAACTTTGAATTTTTGCCGGAGGCATTTGTGGGTTCTATTATGTGTTCACCCAACAGATGCAGTTAAGCTCCTCCCAAAAAAATTTAAATGAACCTTTTTAATTGACTGAATTTCAAAACCTGTAACACACGCAACTGTATTTGCTTCCAATTATAATTGCTGTATCTAAATTAACATCCTTAACGTCAAACCTGTCATTGCGTTTTCTATTTCTCTTGCCTCAATTTGCCGTTAATTTCATTTATACGAACAAACTAATCTTTTTTAACTTAATAAACAATCTGAAACTATGTACTCCTGTGTGTTTAAAGGTCAATATTCAAAACATAACACTTGATAACTCATACAATGTGACATGCGATTTTAAATTTCCCGGTTTTTATAATTTTGTGACTGTGAAACGGGTCTGGTATTACATTGGCCAAAATTTATTGGGAGTGGCTTAACTGCATCTGTTGGGTGAACAGATTATAGTTCTAAATTGTAATGGTCAGAGATTGCGGTATTTCAAAGATTTCGAGCTTACATTTCTAAAAAAGGAATGCTTGTCAAGTAAGATACTTGAATATTTGAATTGAATTGATATCTTTGAAATATATTGTTAATAGAGAAGGGCAGCAAAACCTGACAAATTACAACTAACCGATCATAAAAAACTTTTTCACAAAAATTATGTGAAATCTTATAGTGCATAACTGGAAATTATTTTTTGTATACAGGATGTTCCAATTTCCTGTAATCCTCAAAAATGTAACATAATAATAAAAGCGATCTCTAGAATTAATTATGTACTAAATGTAAACGAAATTTTGAAAAACTGTTGTATTTTGTGTGGTTATGCTGAGATTAACTAGCCGAAGAGGATTCTTCATAAATATAAAATAAGATGTAATTAATGAAAGAGAATGAACGCTATTCAATATATGCTTTCTTTTCTTTTTAAAATTTTATTTTGTTATAGGTCAAAATCGTGCAAAAAAGATTTGTGGTCCCAAATAAACACAGCTCTACAAGCCAACAGTAAATGACAAAGGTCAGTCCTAGGATCCCAGTATAGTGCTAGCTTTCACAGAGTTTCCCAGGAACAAGCGGAAGAATCAGATGTATCATCTGAGAGTTATTCAAATTCCGTATCAAACATGTGCTCCTATCCAATATATATTAATGCAGGTCTTCCGGCTACAGTGGCTGTTGTAAATCCTGATCAATTAGATAGAAATTTAAGTTACGCTGGTCAATTTTCTGTTGTCCAAGATCGTAATTTCGAGGTGCGAGTGACTGCTAGCATCAATGTGGATGCCAGGATCTATTCCCACATCAACGAACAACAACATTATAAACATAATAGTTGAGTGAAAGTAGTTGCGTGTCTTTGAACTTAATTTTTGATTTTTGGGACTTTTGATCTATAGCTCATGCATTTCATGATGGCAAGCTCAGGTTTCAATCATATGCCTTCATTATACTCAAAATATTTTTAGCGAAGTATTGAATTTTACCCACGGTCTGTTCTTCTATCTGTCTCTAATTTGGTTATCATTTGAGTGTGTGGGTATTTGCTGTTATGTACAAACATCACATTCAAAATTTACCTTATAAGCAATGAGTTTCGGATGTGTGTTTTGCGATTCATTTAATTAAATTATAAATTCATCTTATTCTGAGAACACTTCAATTATAGTTGACACAAATGTAACCATTTATAAAATATAAATCATAAATAGTGATACATGAAAAACTCAGTGAGCAGTTTCCAAACTGATGTATCGTTATTACCGGACGTATCACACTTAATCAGATGTTGCTTGAATCGTGTTATTTTTATATAAATATTGTAAGTCGTACTAGCAGCTGAGAAGTGTTTCGTTGATTTAATTCTGGTGATGTAGAAGAAATGCGCCACATCAGTTTTGAACGCAAAGGGTTTCGTCCAATTTAAATATTACTATGTCACTTGAAGTACTTCTGAAATAGTTTATGTGTCGATTTATAAATAATATATATGTATATTTTTGCTGGAGATAGGCTTAGCCTTGAAAGTATGGTACAAATTTTTGGAAAGTCACATGCATGAACAAGTAATTTGTACTTCAAGTAATATATATATTATATATGAGCTGCACTTATATTGCTCACGATCTGTTAACAAATTTTTAACTGATAGGTAACTTTTTATATATATATGTATAGGTGGTTATAAAATTTGAAAACAGTTGAGTCTATGATAACTACAGCTTCTTCATTTATCATTATAATATTTGTAATTGTTTGACTGTGTTCTGCACATGTATTGTGTACAGTATAATTCTTATTAGTGCATGTGTTTAAAGCTATTTAGTGTAAGTGTACATTATGGCCCAATCCCAATAATGATCTCAACCAGTGTAATAGTATTGCATTTTAAAGTGATTCAGATTACAAAAATTGTGCTTGGTTTCAACAACGTTTCTGGAAATAGACCAAATAAATAGTAATTGGAGTTTTGAAATTAATCTGTGCCTTGAATTTTATAAAAATTAGCAAAAATAAATATCTCTGATAGCAAATATTTAAGGAATTAAAATTCACATTTATTTGTAACCGAGCACGATTTTTGACTATGCAGGTGAATTCTCATTTTGATGATTCTGATGGTCTCGTTATATATATATAGTTAATTTTTTATCGATTCAATTGGTTATTAAATATGGAAATATATGTATATTAAATAATTTCATATACACTAATGTGTAATTAACAGTACTTTATTAGTATAATTTAATACGTTTGACGTAATTTAATTTGTAAAATTTATTTCAGTAGTTTTAAAAACATGAAATATGAATTGTGTTAATTTGTTTTGTAATATCAATAATGATCATTACAACATATTTGGCATTTTAAGTTGTTAAATTTTGCGTTGTGCGTAATACTAAAATAAATTTCTAATTTTAATTAATAATTATAAAAGATTAAATATATTATAAAATTTTTAGGTACGTAATTAGTATTAGTTATAATTTTTCAGGAATGCGAAATAACGACAATGATTTACAATTCCAAAGTTGCACAATGTATGCACTGCACGAATTAAATTATATTTGATGTATGTGTTACGACCAAAGTAATTAATAGGGCTATTATTCATAATGACCGGTCAATGTGATAAATTTGGGGTGCATTTCCTTTTAAAACTTAGGGGAAACATTTATGAAACTGAGAAGATATTTAAAAAATCATTCAACATGTCACAATTATTCACATTGACCAGTCATTATGAACAACCGCCGCATTAATAAATTTGACGGTAGCATATGCATAACATAAATGAGAAGTAGGATTATATTTATTTTTAATAAATCTGCTAATAATTAAAAAAATGTGTTTCGTAAAATTACTGCTAGGTTGAACATCTGTGCAACTTTGAACCTAAATTAAATTAACCAATATTTTATGCCATGTATGTTGCAGTACAATGTAAACTATCGGAATCTGTACATCATATTTCCACTAGTTTTAATGAAACGAGAGAATAAGGGCTGATTTGTAAAATGTATAGAAAATGAACATTACAGTTAGCTGTCAATCATTAAATATTGATGTCAAATTTGTTTATTATTTAGTGGCCGATACTTCAACTATAACAATACTTTAAACCTTTAGCTAGGTATATTAATTTTATAATAAATACTCATTAAATTAAATGAACCTATAATGCATACTGTTTTGATGGTCTGTGATGTTACATATTTCTACACTGCAGTTTGCTAATAAGTACGTAAATACAAGTTGGTTTCAAAAATGGAACACTGATCAACTGTGCGGTTGATAGGTCGGAAAAGTAAGTATCAGTAACAAGTTTATGGAATTAAGCTAGGGAAGCAGAGTATTTTATGGTCTATTTGAGATACATTTTTACACTCATCGGGCGTTTACGATAATTGGAGCGCTCCATAGCGGTATGTATTGTAACCGAGTTTGGCAATTATACCGAATGTATCCATTACATGTATCAGATCCACAACTTATGGATCAGCTGCATTAGTAGATATAGCCCGATATATCCAAAACATAACCTTCAAAGTGTTTGGTTATTCCGAATTTCACGCAAAGAAATACGAACAATGAACCGAGTGCGTTCGGTAATAACGGTTACCATACATCCACCGGGTGCATAACAGCTGATTACCGTACTTTACCACTCATTATATACCGCTCCAATTATCGTAAACGCCTATGAATTGTATACAAGGTGAAGGTAGATGTTTTAGACTCTACCTGAAGATGATACAAACTATTACATTATGAAAATCTCAAATTCAAAAATGAAAAAAATATTGCAAAAATGAAGTTTTTGTCAAACTTTAGGGCCTCTGCGCGACTGGAAGATGTTAACCGATTTTGAAAAAATGTTGTTTCTTGTTTCATCTATATAAGTCGCAACTTTTCCGTGCTATTACCACTTTGAAATAAAAAATGGGTTTTTTCGTCCACCCTATTCCATAATTGTGGACAATTTAGAAAACAAGTAAAAAAGTGTTCGTCCTAAGGAGAGTAACTAGTGCATTTTCCATGCATTGAATAGTAGTTCCCAAAAGATCATAGAATGGACATAATGGGCATGCGCAGTGTAATTGTTACGATTTTTCTTGGTTCAGGTGCTCAATACGAATCTCTTTCCTAGAAGCATCTGTTATTAAAACTTCTCGATAAATAAGAAAGTTCACAGTTGCGCATGCGCACATCTAATGTTTAAAGCCTAATTTACATTTGGCAAGTTTACTGGCGGAAAGTAAACTTGCCTAATGTAAATTAAGCTTATGCGGTATGTTTGTTTACAGTGACTATAAAGTCACTGTAGGTATGTTTATCTTTACTAGAGACATCTAAGTACCTATGTTTAAAATTTCAAAAAATATCTCTATAAATAGGAAAGTTGACATTGCGCAGTTTAATCGTCAAGAATTTGCTTGGCTTAAATGCCCTGAGCTATACGCTACCGAATGCAAAAACAAACGAACTTAATATCTTGAACTGTAGGAGTAGTTAAGGCCTCGAACAGACGGACAGAGAAAATGGCTGCAATAGAGCACCGCAACTTCTTTGGAAAATGCGCTAAAAATGTCATGTTAGTTCTCGAAAAACTGCTCCAAACCATATTAAAGAAGTAGATGATTTATGGGAAGCATTGAATATTCAACAGGGTTTAAAAATTCGTATTCAAACCATCCACCTGCCATACACTTTACCTATTGCTAGGGTCAAGCAATTGAATTTTAGACAACATTGCTAAATTTGTCAGTACCTACGAGTATAAAATAAAAGGAGAGAACCTTGCATTAAAAGGGGACGATACGGAAATGGACAAAAAGAAAGAAAAGTGCGAGAAGACTGGGGAGAAATGCGTCATTATTGGCAGTGGTGTAATAAAACAAAACTGACATCGTCTCTTCTGTTTTATGATAAATCAAGTCGACATAACTGACCAGCGCAAATGAAGTGATATTTTGACGACTTCCGTCGCGTGTGATGCTATTTCACACCACCGTTATATTCTCTCCTCTTATTTTTTACTTGTAGGTCAGTATAGAAGACCACTTTTGACAAATGTTGCTCATCTAGCAATTACCTCTTAGACCATATTGTTGTGTTATTTTGTTTTAGTTGTAACTTGAAAGAAATTATAGAGCGTCTGGATGTGACAATTTTGTTTAGTTCAATTAATTAACCGGGGGGGTTATTAATAATTTGAGACACAGGATTGCGTAAATTTCATGTTATAGTTTTGGTTCAATTTCTTAGAAGTGTTCTGTTTTTATTTTATTCCTAGAATTTTTTTCGATGTAAATTTCTTTTTAAATTTTATTTGCCGTTAACGAGGTATAGCGCGAAGTAGAGATAAGGTTCTTCGCAGAATTGCCGGGCGTACGTGCCGTTTGGCAAGAAGTTGAAAAATCGACGCTTCGCGTGATTGGCGGACGGGGTGTGGAAGAAAGGAGAAGGGCTTTTGGCTTAAATAGAAAATTTTTGAAGAGAGCGGGGCTTTTTAGTCGTTACAAAGCCAACCGGCGCTTCTTCGGTTACGTTATTTTTTGAATTTTGTGGAAGTTTCTTGCGTAGTGGATCCAGGTTTAATTAGAATTTTGTGTCTGCCGTTTAAGAAGAATTTTTGAGAAGTTTAAGAAGTTTGTCGTCGTCCTGTTTTTTTTTTATTTTGCGGAAACACGGAAGTTTTGAATTTGTGGGTACCCGAAGAGAGAAGACGTCGGTGTTTGAGTGTTTGGTTTGCGTGATTGTGTACGGATACCTCTTTTTATCGGAGTACGTTATTCGGACTAATTTTAAAAGTAAGTAGTAGTTAGTGGTTTGTTTTGTCTTGTTTTGTTTGTAATGTTTGAGTAATTTGTTTTTTTTTGTGTGTGTCATTTATCTGTTTAAAATTGTAACAATTTGTAAAACAGAAATTTACGCAATTTTTTGTCTGAAATTAAACCAGTCATTGCAATCCAGGTTTTGTTTATTAGAGTCAAAGAGAGGTAATTGTCGGCGTCTCTTACTTTGTTTCAAGTTTATTAAATCTGGGGGTGAAGTTTCATATTGGAATTTAAGGGAGGTATTAGCCACCGACCTGGCGAGGTTGCTACCCCTTGTCCGGACGAAGAAAAGGGGTGGTCGGACTCATTTTACGGGCCCTGAGATTTGTGTTTTTAAGAGTTTGTGTGGGATTGAGCTAGTAAGGGTAAGTTGTGTGGGTATCTTTCAGGCTTAGGAAGTTTACACAACAAATTAATTGGCGCCCAATAGCGTGAGGCATCAGGGAAACGCGGAAGTAGGTCGTTTTTTATTGAAAGTTTAAAGTTCATTGTAGGCAGGATTTATTGTGCGACGGGTAAGATTTTATTTGGTATCCGACACGATAAGTTTAAAGGATTTTTTTTAACGCAATTATTTGAAGAGGTTTTTGGTTGTGACAGGTTAAGAAAGGGTTAGGTAGTAACTTTATTGCGAAGGGTAGTTGAGTAGAGACAGGGAAGTTAAACGAAATTTTTTATAAGATTTGGAAAAGAAATAAAAGTGACAGCGAGCGTAGAGACGGTTATTTGTTATATTTTTGTATAATTATAACAGCGTAAATTATTAACAAGAGAAGATTATGGATTCGAAGCCCGAGAGTGGAATTGATGTACCGACGGACGTCAGCGCAGAAATAATACCGGGGTCAGTCGACGTGCCGGAAGGAAAAGGAGAGGTCTCTACAATGGGATTAACGACAATGCAGGAAGGGTTCTTTGCTCAAATGATAACGATGATGAGTGAGATGAGGACAGAGAATAAGCAAATGAATAACCAACTGGGGGACAAATTGAGCGGTCAGATAAAAGAGATAAATAAGAAGATAGAGAACCAGAATAAAACGACAGCGGAATTAAGACAGGACGTGGTGAGAATCATGAACGAGATTAGGCAAGACATGCAGGAGAGCGTCAGAGAGGTAGAAAAGAAGACCGATGGAAATACGAGGGAGATTAGAGAATTAAGGACGGATATGGCCGAGAACATCAGCGTGCTGCACCAACATCACGAAGGGGTGAACAAGCGAGTGATGGAGGTAGAGAACCAGATTAGGATGGAGGTCAGCTACACGCAGCAGGAGTTTGAAAAAGTTGAAAAGGGATTTTGTCATATGCAAGAAGTCTGCAACAAAAATAAAAGTACGAGTGAGGAAGAATTAAAAGAACTACGGAAGGAATTGGAGAATAAGCCGAGACAGGGAGGAATACAGTACGCCAACAATTTTAAAGGGGACCTAGATCGTCTGGAACAGTTCACGGGTAAGGGAAAAGTCCACCCTATGACGTTTCTAAAAATTTTAGAGGCGACGATCCTAAACAACAGGCGAATTTTTGGGAAACTATTCACGAACGTGGACGAAATCAGCTTGATAAGAAGTGTTCTAAAGGAAGACGCGCAGATTTGGTATGACACGGTGGACGAGAAGATTGCCAACTTCGAGTCATTCAAGGAAAATTTTATAAGCCAATACTGGGGCGATTGGGAGCAAAATAAAACACGGGACCAATTAAACATGGGAAAGTATAACCGAAATAGGGGTAGCCGTGTGAAGTACCTGATGGAAAATTATTCACAATTTAAACACCTAGAAAATGGGATACAGGAATCAGTGCTGGTAAGGCGGCTGGCAAAACATTATGAAGAGGAGATTTCCCAGAAGGTCACGAAGGACGACATCACCACGTACGAAGAATTTTTAAGGATGCTCAAACGTTACGACACGGCTGACGAGGAGAAGGACGCCGCCTACGATTATAAGATCAGGGAGCAAGGACGGCAGTATGAAAAACAAGGATACGGAAACCAGTGGAGAGGAAACAGACCATACGGAGCGTATCAAGAAAGGGGTAACCGGATGGAGAATTTGAACCTAAATTACAACAATTATAACAACAATGGAAATTATAACAGGAATGCGAATAATGGGAATTTTAATAGGAATAACAACAATAGAGGGAATTTTAACCGCGAGTTTAATTATGAACAGAAATTCGAAAGGGAATATCAGAAGGACCAGAGGGAGCAGGAGAGAAGACCGGATTATGCAAGAGGAGCCCGAGAAGAGAGACGAGGGGAGGGAAATGCAGAACAGGACAGGAGACGTATTAACCAGATTTTAAAACCGACGCGGGACACCGGAGAGGAAAACAAAATAGAAGTGGTTAGAGCCGAAGTCCATCCACCACCGACGGATTTTTAAGAGGCCGCGCTATTGTCGGATACGTGTACTCGCACCCGAAAGAATTTATTCAAATTGACGACAATAGTGCGGAAGACAAATCGGACAACTTCATTACCAATTTACCAACAATAGGGGTGCTGGTGGAAGGAAAAAGGGCCAAGGCATTGATTGACACGGGGGCGGAAGTTTCTTTAATTTCAGAAGATTTCATTAAAGAAAATTTAGGAAGAGTGGAGAGTTTTACCGTACCCATTAAAGGATTAAAATTAATAACGGCAAATAAGAAAAATTTCGCCAACGTCAAAAGAAAATTTATTTTAGGGATTGAAGTAGGAGGTGAACGGCTGCAGGAAGAATTATTGGTTTTAGCGGGGATGCAGGCGGATTTAATTATCGGGATTGACATTTTAAAAATGTATGATGGAATTGTGGATATAGGAAAAGGAAATGTAAGAATAGGAAAATTAGAAGTGAAAATAGAAGACGAAAAGATCAAGAAAGACCCGGATAACGAAATGGAAATTAGCGTTTGTCAGAAATGGGGGAATGAGGAGTATTGGAAAATGTCAAAATTAAATTGCCCAGAAGAGTGGTCGGAAAAGGTAACAGGAATACTGAAGGAAAATCGTGAACTTATCAATGACGAAGTGAGAATGGCGAGAGGTTACGAACACACGTTGCAAGTGGATGATAGGAAAATGGGGAAAATCCAAACGTATTCGGTGCCTTTCCATTATCGAAATGAAGTAAGA